GAGGAGGAGCCCGATGTGAGCATGGGAAGGGGCCGAAGCCACTGCCAGCTCTGCAGAAGGGCAGAAGAGCTGCGGGTTCACCTCAGCCTCACTGACAGCAGCACCTCTCGATTCCCCCGGCTCAGGAGACAAAGAATTAATGAAGGCACCTTGAAGCCACGGCCTTACAGCAGCAGCTCCCATTCTGCAGCACAGCAGAGGCACCGCTACCAGTCCCCAACCGGCCGCACACCCACAGCAGCTCTTCCCCAAAACGGTGCTGAGCGCCTGCAGCCCAGCACCAAAGGGCCGCTGAGTTAACACAGTCTCAAAGGCTCTGTTTCTTTCCCCCCTGTGCTGTTCTGAAATAAACCCTCTCTATCCCTGCTTTGCAGCTGTGCTTTGAGGTTCGCTGCAAAGCAACGCGGCCACACAGCTCCCAGCACAGCCCTCAGCAGCTGGGCGGCGCAGAGCCCCGAAGGCTTCAAACGGCCCAAAGCAGCACAGCAGCGCCGCTGTGCTGGGCAGAGGGGACTCAGAGCCACCAAAGCTGCTGAGACGAACCCAAGTCCGGCCTCATAACACACCAAAAATGAAAGCAAAGGGGGCCCAAAGCCCCTTGAACTCTCAGTACTGAAATCCCAGCTGAGCCAATGGCAGCAGGCCCTGCCAGGCGAGAAGCAAAGGGCAGCAGCACCACGAGAAATCTGTGCAGCAACGCCAACGCAACTCCTCACCCCGAGCAAAGCACAGCGCTTCACATCCCGCCCTTCCAGGAGAGGAAGAACCCTCAGAGCTGTTTGCATCACCTGCTTTTCACCTTTTTCCCCCTTTTCCTTCAGATTTTAACCCAGCAGCAGCACTTCTGTGGGCAGACAGGCTGTGCTGGCAGCTTGCAGCAGGGCTGTGCGACCACCAACCGCCTCTGCTGGGCCAGCAAACGCCCCCACAACTTGTGCTGCTTCCTCCACAGCGCATCTTCTCCCCACAGCGACGCTGCCAGCCTGCACTGCTGCTTGCTTTGCTCTCCACCCAGTGCTGCTGCTGAGCTTTCCTCCCTACCAGCAGCTCCGGAGCCCACAGAGCCGACTGCAAGCCTCCCTGCAGCAGCAGAACCTGAGCAGCAGCAGGAGGCAATGAGGGCTGTGGGGCTGCCTGTTCCATCCGTCCCCAAGCCGGACGGTCGCCGTGCCCACCTCCATCAGCCTCAGCTCCCAAACTCAGCTGGAGCTGCTCAGGCACTGCTGCTGATGGAGGACTCTCTCTACGCAGCCTTCCTCCCACCACGCAGACAGCTGGCAGCCAGAAGGGCTGCTTTGGGTGCAGGCAAACCGGGGTAAAACGTTCCTTCCTCTCTTCCGGGAGTCCTTGGCTCTCCAGAAAGGCCGCAAACTGAGCAGAAAGAAAGAAAGTTCCTGGAGTGCTGCTCTGTGTTCATTAAGGAGTGAGGAATTTCCGGCTCAGGAGGGGAAGGAAGCGGTGCTGCACGGCTCTTCTGCAAAAGGCAGCACAGAAATTAAGGATCCCTGCGTGCACCTGAATGGGACGTGCCAGCAGAGTGCAGCGCATCAACAGCTGGAGCAGGATGGAAGAGGCTGCAGGACAGCGCAGGGAAGGGCACCAAGGGGGCCGTGCAGCTCAGCCCCACGGGAAGGGCGCTGTCGCAACCACTGGCATCTCCACGAGTTCAGAAATGGTCCCAAACAAAAAGAGCCGACCGTTCCAAGCTGTGATTGAGGAGACGGGCAGCAGCAGCAGCCTGAAGGCTGTTTCCAACCCCAGCAGCACAAGGTTGCTTTCCAGGGCCGGGTGCAGCTCAGCACATTTTTTGCTTACCAAGATTTAAACCACCCATGGTTCAGCTCCCGCAGAGCTCAGCACAGCCCTGCCCGTACAGAAGCCGGCTCCAAACAAACCCCCTTTGCACCCCCTGCTCACCACACGGCGTCAGGAGCGTCCTGACAACCCCCAACCACGAAACCCATTAAGCAATTAATGGGCCGGGAGCCTCTACAGATAGCAGCTGACCCAGAGCCAGCGCCTCCCTCTGCTGTCGGAGCCCTTTGTCAGCTATTGAACACAGATGTTTCTTTTCCCAGAGAACTTTTTGGGGTCGAGCCTTTCCTATTGCACGCAGCCCAGCACTCTGAGGGCTACAAGCAGAGCGCTGCTCTCACAACCGTTTCCCTTTCCCCACTCGCCGCATCTCGCTCTCGCCGTCTCTTCCAGCCCCACTCTGCGCAGCACAGCTCTCCTTCCCTCCTGATCTGCACATCCTGCATCTGCCCAGCTGCTCTGAGCAGCTCCCAGCAGAGCCCTCCCTGCTACGAGGGCAGCTGATGGGCTGAACCACAGCCCTGCCTCCCTGGGATGCTGCAGCACAGCAGGAGCCCCTTTTGCTGTGCGAGGAGAACGCAGATCAGACCGTTTCCCTTTCAGATCCACCTGCTGCTAACCTGGCTCAGGAACGCTCCTTTCTGGTGGCTCTGTTGTGTCTCTTTTTCCCAAGCAATGTCTGAGTATGGGATTGCTGCAGGATTTCAGCTCACAGTGTGAAAACACAGCACCAGCTCTGCACCTCAACCACCACAGATGAGCACCCCAGTGTGTTTTCTCAGCATCCGAAGCCACAAACGCTTCCTATCCCATTAGAATGCTTTAGAAAAGTCATCTTCGAGAGGTGACATCGAATCATCCTTGATAAAGCTGGACAAGTCACACAGCCCCACACCCCGTCAGCCTCAAGCCACAAGCGAGAGCAGTCAGCAACCACAAAGCAGCGCAGCAAAACAAGAAAAAAAGAGACACAGAGGCTCAGGTTCTGATCTCAGCCACCCACAGCCCTGCAGCCACCAGGTTACTGCAGGGGCGGATGGACTGACTGCGGGTTTTGCTAGAAATCCAATGGAGCCCTCAGGATCCCATCATCTTCCCTGCTCAGCACGCTGCCAGTGACAGCCAGCTGCCCAGCCAAGGGCTCCCATTTGGCCACCGACCACGGGGCAGAACGGGCTGAGCCCTGTGCCTCCTGCAGGCATCGCAGCGCGGCTCACACACAGCTTCAAACAGACACCGAGGGGATCTGGAAGGGCTCCTCCATGCCAGCAGCTGGGCGGGCTGCGATCGGCGCTCATGAAGGAAAAACCTCCCCAAGAAAAAGGGGGGAAAAGCAACAGCGGCCATGAAGGGCAGCAGGGAGCGGCGCAGCTCCGGCACCGCGGGGCAGGGCAGCACCCCATAGGGGTACAAACCCCGCACCCCTCCGCGATCCCAACCCCCCTCGTTCCTCCCCAGAGCGACGCTCTGCTCAGCCAAACCCACCTCGCTGCTCCCACCCCCACACGGGCCCCCTTCCTCACACTCACACCCCCAGGGCCCCATTGGGGCAGCACCGCTCCCTCCCCCCTCCGCACAGCCCCCCATGCCGCCCTCACCCCCCTCCTTCAAGCAGACCCCCGCAGCCCCCCACACAGACCCCCAGGCCCCGCCCCGTCCCCTCACCCCCCCCTACAGGAGCTGCCAACCTCCCCTCAGCCCCACTTCGACCTCCCACCCACCGCCCCCCAGGGAACGCCTCTCCCGCTCCCGGCCCTCCCCACGGCCGCACGCCCCCCTCAGCCCGAACCGCCCCGCGCTGCTCACCCGGGTTGGCGGCGGTGGCGGCCATAACGCGGCCCGTCCCGCTGCCGCCGCCCCCCCCCTTCCCCTCAGCACCGCCGCCGCGGCCAAGATGGCGGCGCAGGAAAACCCTCCGCGCCGCCGCGCAGCGCGACCCGCCCGCCTCGAGGGGCGGGGCGAAGGGGGAATGAGGCGCTGCTATTGGTCCGTCGTGGAGGGGGCGGGGCGAAAGGGGCGGTGTGGCTTTAAGAGAGAGTGCCCCGCCCACATCGCGAGGGGCGTGGTCAAGGAGGGGAGCGTGGTCACTGGGGGCGTGGTCAAGGGGCGGGAGTGATGACGTCACGTTGTTTATTTGTTTTGTCCCGAGCAAAAGAATGTGATGGGAATTGGGATTGGGATTGGGATTGGGACTGGGACTGGAATTTGTGTTGGGAATTTGTGGGGGATTCAGACTGAAGAGTTGGGATTGGGATTTGGGTTGAGATTGGGATTTGAAGTGGGGTTGGGATTGAGATAGGGATTGGGATCAAGAGTGGGATTGAGGCTGGGATTTGGACTGGTATTCAGGTTGAGATTGGGATTGGGATTGGGATTGACATTGGGACTGGGACTGAGACTAAGAGAGGGGTTGGGATTGAGAGTGGGATTTGGATTGATCTGGGGATGGGGATCAGCAGTGGGATTTGGGTTGATAATATAACAAATACAACGAAACTGAGAGGCGGTGCTGCTGGAGGTGCTGCTCCTTCCTGCACCGCTCTTTGGCAGCTCCAAACTGCAGAGCAGCTCAGACTCAGTGCCGCGGTTCCCAAAGCTTTGCACTGCTCAGAGCCCACGGCAGCCCCTGCCCCACTGCAGGTCACCCCATGGGCCGGGGGAGGCGAGGGACCCAAGCGCTGTCTGCTCAGGGGGGTCCCAGTTTGCTCAACCAGAGCCACACACAAAGCCTGGCGGGAGGTGCTGAGCGCTTCGTGACCCCTTTAATCCACAGGATCGCTTCTCCCCATTGCAGGGAGCAGCTGAAAGGTGATGCTGCTGTGTGTCTGCGGTGTCTTTGATGGCCCCGATGTCACCACGGCCCTGCAGTATTGATGAGGCCCAGAGAGGTGAAGTCCAGCCCCAGTGCCTCTGTGTCCCTGCAGTATTCATAAAGCCCAATGAGGCCACAATGTCACCGTAGCCCTGCATTATTCATGAGGCCAATTGACTGGGGAGAGCCACAGACAGCAGGACACAGGGCCAGGCAGTCCGTCTGTCTGTCCATCTGGAGAGAGGTAAGGGGCGCTCAGCACACACAGGACAGGGTTCAGAACTGGGGGGTTGGGGTCCCACCTCAGTAGGGTGATGGCATTCATGGAGGCTGTGCTTGCTCACCCTTGGTGTATTATAAACACAAACAAATCTGTAAGTTTGGTGGCTTTTCTGGCACCAGCCTGAACAAACCTTCTCTTCTGCTCTTGTTTGCACACCTCTGTTTGCTTAGCACGGCTTTCCCACATGCTCCTGTCCCCTCCTAACCCGAGCCACGTCTGCTGGACTCGAAGATCCTTACTGGTCCCTTCCATCTCAAGGTATTCTGTGATTCCGTGATTCCACGATTTCCCCGATTCTGTGGGGGCTCAGCCAAGCCCTGCTGTGCCTAACAACCACCAGTGTGGCTGTACCCAACATTAATGGCATATTTTAACCCGGGTTTTCCTGGAAAGCGGGCAGGCTGTGCAGGGAAGGGAAGCTGGAAGGGATGCCACTGGGAACAGTGGGGTGCTTTGTCCTGTGATTGCTGCTCCTGTTCTTCCACCCTCCTCTGCCCTGCAGGATGCAGCTGGGGCTGCACGCCTGAGTGCCGCCCGCATGGCCATCGACGTGGATCAGGGCTTCGCCATCGCCTTCGTGGTGCTCACGTGCCTCTTCCTGCTGGCCGTGATGGTTCGCTGCGCCAAGCTCATCATCGACCCCTACAGCGCCATCCCCACCTCCACCTGGGAGGAGGAGCAGATTAACTGAGACCCCCCGGACCCTCAGCACGGTGACTCGCGGTTCTCCCTCCCCACTGGGTGCGCCCAGAGCTTCATCCCGGCCCCCCAAGGCGCTCATGGAAACGTAGAGTTGCTCAGGTTGGAAAAGACCTTAAAGATCAAGTCTCCATTATCTCTGGCACCCCAGGGTCCTCCATCTCCTTGAGAGCCCCAGCCGTTTTTCTCTTCCTTTCCTCAAACCCCTCAGAACCCCCCCGGCCCGGACCCCTTCTGTCCCCTGGGTGGCAGTGCTGAGCCTTTGCAGGGACGCGGCCCCTTTAAGGCTCCCCCCAGCCGCTCTTCTCGCACATGCGCCTTGGCTCATTTCCGCCGCTCACGGCTGCGGCCCGCCTCTCACGCATGCGTAGAGCAACGCCGGCCTCAACTGGGAGGAACGGGACTTCCTCTAAGTACCGGAAGTGACGGCAT